TAATAGATCAGCTCTCAGTTTGGTTGATCATATAAACGCATATTTGAATACTGACCTGGAGTTTCTTCAATGGAGCAAATTATCATTTGACTAAACAAAAACACTGCCATCACTGTAAGAGGAGAACTTAAGTTCTCTGAGGTTTTTAAAGGCAGCATTTAATACCAGGTTCCAATATTTTCCATAAATTAATATTTTTCTAGTGATTGCCTTGCAGGCTTATTCCCTCTTTCTACACTTGGTCACATAAAGATCTCTGCAGGATCATAGCAACTGCTTAAACAGAAAAGAAACACTGCAGATAGGTGTAGGTTAGTATGGTCAGGAAGTATTGAATATTGATCTAACTAGCAACAGCCAAAATTGATTTTACTGTCAACCTCTACAGAAATTGTAGAGTAATACCAGGTATGTTCCACTAAGTCATTTTACTTCATTATTTAGCCTTGTAAAAAAAAAAAAGCAGTTTAGGAGGTAGAAACATGCAGAACCGAGAATCATCAGGTCACTTCTGTAGAGCATTGCTGTAGGATCCATGTGTCAAAACTTAACCTGCAAAGGGCTCCAATCACTTGCATTCTGCTTCTCTGTAAGCACTTCAGGTGTTGGTAACGTCACACATTGCCCAGACCCTCACATATAGCACTGATTTAGTGCATCACTGTCTTTTAGCTCTGCATGCTTGTTAACCCCATCATAAAATTAGGCAAAGAACTGCTAACCACAAACTCAGTATCCCTTGTAAAATGTGTCACATCTAATGTTTGCTATTGCTGATGGCTACTGAGGTTTCTTGCAACCATTACAAAAACTATCTTAGGAGAATAGAAAATACAATACTTACTGCTGTACAATATGGATAATTCTCTTAACAGTAACTTAGCTTTGAATGTAATTTGTTTCCTGATGTTCAGACACCTCTTGATTAATATCATATATAAAGACAATGTTATACAGATGGCTACAAATAGAAGGCTGATAATTTTAATGGAGTTCATTACTGCACTATGAGCATATTTGTGCAAAAATTGAACTTTAGAGAAATAATCTACACTGCCCAATGAGAAAATAAATGTTCTTTATTTTGCATGTTTGTGTAGCAATTTCAGTTTTCTTTATCTTTCTTTTTTTTGTTGTTGTTAGCTTTGCTAATTCAGCATGTGGCACTGGCACTCTGTTCTTCCAGCATTTGCTGAATGAAAAAAAACCACTGCATTGTCCATTTTGATAAGACAGGTACAACAGTTGATGTAATTAAAAGCTGAAACCCCTCCAACCAAATCCATTCCACGTGAAACAAAAAATTAAAAAATAGAGTAAAAAGTCATTTAAAGATTAGCTGACCTTAATCAACTTCTCAAAAGTAGATTGATGCTGAAGTTAATACAGTATTGAGGTTTCCAAGCTTTTAATTTTGTTCATTAGACCTACTTATTCAACAGTCAGAGGAGAACTGATGGTGGAGGTTTCAGTTCTCTGTAAGTGCTTTATCATCATTCCTAGTCTGAAAGCAGGTGAACAGGGAGCCAAGAGCCTCCTTCCAGGTACGCTTTGCTAAAAATCACAATCCCCATTTTCTCATTCCCCTCTGAAAGACTTTACCCATACCAGGCAGCGGCACTGCTGGCAGCTGTAGGTCCAGTTGTCCCCGCTGCGGTAGAGCTTGTGCCCGGTTTGGTCGAGGCACTGGCTGGTGACGCGGGTGTCGCACTCCGGGCAGCAGAAGAGGTCAGCGCTGGGGTTCCCACAGTCACAGGCTGTTCTCCGGCAGAAAACCCGCCCGTCCTGCAAGGAGGATACATTGCCCTGCTGTCAGCCCCAGACTGCCAGGCAGCAGCACGGGTAAGGTCACAGGGTACAAGAACAAAGGGCACAGCTTTGGCTTATCGGGAAAGATCAAGTTCTTAATGTACTCGGTGCTACCAGCAACAAGGACTGGATCCTGCCAGTTGTAAGAAGTACCTCAAGTTCCAGTATTGTCCTAGTTTCTATCAGTGCATGGATCCAATACTGTCTGAATCTGAGAATCATAAAATCATGGAATGGTTTAGGTTGGAAGAGACCTCAGAGATCATCTAGCTCCAACCCCCCTCGCTGGGCAGAAACACCTCCCACTAGATCAGGTTGCTCAGAGCCTCATGCAACCTGGCCTTGAACACTTCCAAGGAGGGGGAATCCACAACTTCCCACAATACTGTTTCTTGTCTCCAAATAATTGAATTTAAAAGAAATCAGTACCTCAGAAAAAATATAGTGAAGCAATTTCATATCTCATTGGTTACATCAACAAACTCTTCAAGCAGTTGCCACTCTAATACATACAATATTTGTTTAGCACTACTTTGACTGATTGTATCACTGTGAAGAAAATAACTTTAATAAACAGATGGTATGAAGGTGTTCCCTTTAACTTCATAGGAGAACAATACAGCAAAATCACAGTGGCACTAATAATGTTTTACTCTGAATTCAACACTGGTTCTGTTCCACAGTTGGACCTACTGTAGACCATTGTAAAGCTAAATGGACATGTCATCATCCATTATAATTCTGTTAATGTATTAAAGACAGTCTGTATTCCATAGCCTTTCCAAAATAGGATTTTGCTAAATATTTGCTTACAGTATTGGATAGCTCATTTTGTTGAAGATCATTAAACAGAAATGTTTGAGATAAACAGAAGAATTGCTTCAATATGTAAAGAGAAAAAGATAAATTATTTTTGCATCAGAGAAAAACAAATTTATTATAATTCTAGTTATGAAAATTAGATGGACTATCATATTTGAAATTAGGCTGTTCTCCGGCAGAAAACCCGCCCGTCCTGCAAGGAGGATACATTGCCCTGCTGTCAGCCCCAGACTGCCAGGCAGCAGCACGGGTAAGGTCACAGGGTACAAGAACAAAGGGCACAGCTTTGGCTTATCGGGAAAGATCAAGTTCTTAATGTACTCGGTGCTACCAGCAACAAGGACTGGATCCTGCCAGTTGTAAGAAGTACCTCAAGTTCCAGTATTGTCCTAGTTTCTATCAGTGCATGGATCCAATACTGTCTGAATCTGAGAATCATAAAATCATGGAATGGTTTAGGTTGGAAGAGACCTCAGAGATCATCTAGCTCCAACCCCCCTCGCTGGGCAGAAACACCTCCCACTAGATCAGGTTGCTCAGAGCCTCATGCAACCTGGCCTTGAACACTTCCAAGGAGGGGGAATCCACAACTTCCCACAATACTGTTTCTTGTCTCCAAATAATTGAATTTAAAAGAAATCAGTACCTCAGAAAAAATATAGTGAAGCAATTTCATATCTCATTGGTTACATCAACAAACTCTTCAAGCAGTTGCCACTCTAATACATACAATATTTGTTTAGCACTACTTTGACTGATTGTATCACTGTGAAGAAAATAACTTTAATAAACAGATGGTATGAAGGTGTTCCCTTTAACTTCATAGGAGAACAATACAGCAAAATCACAGTGGCACTAATAATGTTTTACTCTGAATTCAACACTGGTTCTGTTCCACAGTTGGACCTACTGTAGACCATTGTAAAGCTAAATGGACATGTCATCATCCATTATAATTCTGTTAATGTATTAAAGACAGTCTGTATTCCATAGCCTTTCCAAAATAGGATTTTGCTAAATATTTGCTTACAGTATTGGATAGCTCATTTTGTTGAAGATCATTAAACAGAAATGTTTGAGATAAACAGAAGAATTGCTTCAATATGTAAAGAGAAAAAGATAAATTATTTTTGCATCAGAGAAAAACAAATTTATTATAATTCTAGTTATGAAAATTAGATGGACTATCATATTTGAAATTATACCCCTCACTGTAGGTGAGCCACCATACTGATATGCCACATGTAGACTGGGAACTGAAATCACAGTTAATAATACAGAAATTATTGAAAAGAATCATTTTGCATTCAATGCCAGTTCTTGGATTAGTCCTTATGCAAGCAAAGCATCCTCTGCAGCCAATTTGAAGGTAGAGCTGTGAGAGGAATGAACCTATATTCTGCTTTTGATGACAACCGTACAACTCCTAAAACAACACCACTCACCTCACTGCAGTTTTCCCATATTCTCATCAGAACTTTGTTCTCAGTCTATAAATTTGTGTCTGATGTGAGAAGAAAAAGGGTTTTTGTTTGTTTGTTTGTTTTTATTGCCCCCAAATAAAGGGATACCTAGGAAAGTAAGGGAATTAATTTCCTCTTGATCCTTTTTTAAAAGTGATTACAAAAAAGGGTGATGGTGATAGAAGCCCAGGATGTCTTTGTCACAGAGATAAAAAGTGCCATAACCACAGTGCATAACATGGGAGGTTCTTCTGTTTGTATCTTGATGTAGGAATCTGAGTTGGGTTTTGTTTTTCAGCTAAGCCACTCTTGGCCACAATGCACAAAATATACAAAATGTACAAAATATACAAAATCAGCATCAGAGAATCACAGTACCCACGTCAGTGCCACTGATGCATTTCATTGTAGTTTTGAATTGATTAGAACGCTTCAAGAATGATTCAAAATATTTCTTATGCCTAACAAGGAAAGCTAAAGACAACAGAGGATATGGAAATGTAGAAAACATGCTAAGTCAACATGGATCTGAACTGCTTTTGCCAACCACAGGGCATAAGACTGGATTGCCCTACAGTCCTTATTTGGTTTTGTATCAAATGAAGATAACTAAGGGTTCTCTGCTTATGGCTAGTTTGCTGCTTTAGCTGTGAGACAAGGAATAAATAAACTCTATTTCCTTACTCAGCAGTTTGACTAAATCACAAGGTAAGGAAGACTGGCAGGGGCCCATATCCTTAGGCATAGGTCCGGCCAGGTCCAGATGCAACCCTTTTCCCAAAAAAAAACCCCAAAAAAGTCATCCTCTCCTTTCAGTGAGTGGTGAAAGAAAATAAAGCCTTCCCTGATGGAAAGTTATTACTAAATCTCCATTCTTGCAGGTGGGAAAGCACAACCATCTTCCACCCCTTGCTGAGGGTAGATGTCAAGTAGCAGCTCAGCACATTGGCCGGGCTGACCAGCTCCAGCACCAGGCATCTGAGCAACCCGACACCCTCAAATATCCAGCTCCTCTTCTCTCCATAATGGAGTGCTGATTAATAATGGCTAACAATAACCTGTCTGCTTAGCTCTAATTCTGTTTCCAAGCTTTCAAGATTAGTTTTCAAATTCCCTTCCCAGCTGGTGACAGCGCTGGTAGCTCTGTGCTTCTCTCAGCTCCCGTGCTGTTACCTCTAGGGAGCAGCTAACCTTTTACATTGCCTTTAATCTCTGTATTTCAGAACACTGATAAAGCTTGATGATTTTGCCAGAGACCTTTTAGAAATCATAATACACTGCTTCTCTCTCTATTCCTTAAGCATCTGTGTTTTATCTACAACTTCATTAGTTCCATGCCTTTCAAAAAACATTTTTATCCCTATACTGCAGTGACACGAAGCCTCTTAAGCTACACTTCACTTGCATCTTTGCAACAGCAGCATTGAGAATATACAGGAAAAATGAGACATATACAGAAAGCATCTAACTTTCTTTTGGTAATAACCTATAGCATCTTATTAGTACCTTGCCCTCTCTGCTTTCCTTACCAAATGACTTCTACATGCTTCCTAAGTATCAGTGGTATGAACACAAAATTGTTCTTACCAAAGGAAAAACTGCCACACAAGGGAATCACTGTAAATGGTGATTCAAGTTTCCAGAATTGACAATTTGGACAGAAATCAGACCCTGCAGAAGCCAGAAACACCAAAGCATTCTCACCCTCAGGAGCAGACTTCACCTTGGCACATCCCCCTGTTCCCAGTGATGTACTTATCCCCAGGCTTTTTTTTATACAGGGAATGGGGGGTTGTCTTAATTAGAGGAACAACTTAAAAGCCTGATACAGCCAGACTGTACAGCCAGGCTTAGTTTTTTTGTGGGAGAGAACAAGAGCTCCCCACCACCCTTCAGATTTCCACCACCTTTAAATTTAATTGTGTATTAAATCCACACAAATTCAGGAAGATACTTATAGAAGACACATTAAATACATTTAAGGTACTGTATTAATGGCTTTGAGAATTTGTTTCTGTTAACTTTATATTCATTCAGATGGACAAGAATATTTTGAAGACATAGGGTCTGATCAAACACAGAAATAATCCCTGTGCTTCAATGATAACAATTTGGTTCATTATACAACTGAATGAACATAATTTATCATATCCCACTGAATCCTACTCCACAAGTAACCGTAATGAACTTCAATGTTAAGCAAGGTATTTCATTTCCTTTGCACCAGCATTTAAGTTAAAATATTTTCAAGATGGGATCCAGTCACTGCACAAAATATATCCATCTGACCTTTCCCAAAGTAACCATAACAAAAGAAAAGCTGAAAGAAAAAGATATTATTTTACATGCAAAATGCTGGTTTGTCTTCTAGATAAAACAAGTGAGTAGGATCATTTCAAAGTTAGAGGTATAAGGAGTTATTTAGTTACACTCTGCCCTTTTCCTCACAGAAAACTGAGTGGGCTGCAAGAAGGTCAAATGGGGCCAGCTCTCCGTGCAACTGCACGAGAAGGATAGAGTCCTGCAGCAGGACTGAGATGTAGTCTGGTGTATTGGAACCTGTCACAGTTTATAAAAATATGCTTCAACAAACACACAGGGAAGACTTCACATTCTGCCTGAGATACAATAAAGGAGGAACTCTCCTTGTTCTCCCTGTTAATAGAAAGGAATTTGGCCCTTGAAACAAGGCAGCTACTGCAGTGACATCAAATGCAAATGTTAATTCACAGAGGAAAATATTGGAAAGTGAGGAAGATATAAAGGAAAAGTCATAACAACAAACAGTACCAGGCTTAGTTTAAAATATCTCTGTACTAGTTAATCATCCTGTATACTAATAAGAAAATTCAACATAAGATATAAGTGTGATGAGAAATGTCAAATAAAACAAATTACAAGCAATCTAAAATGGAAATACTAATAGTTACAATTCTGCAAAGGCAGACCAGATGTCTTCACATATATTAAATTGTTTATTCTATTGACTGGAAATCCCTTCATAAGCCAGCTAGTTCCCCAAGATCACAATAAAAGCTTGATATATATTCAGTGGAGTTGTACACTTCAGTTTCTGAAGGGAGGAGTTTTAGGGAGCTTGAGGCTACTTGAAATAAAAAAAATAGCAACTAACAAGAACATACTCCCTTCTGAGCCCAAAACAGCAGTGTACTTTGCCGGTTCTTTTCACTCTAAAGTCTTGATTTTCACTTCTGCTATACTAACAATCTTCCCCTTTGTCCCTCCCAAACCCTTCAGTGCTTCTCTGGCTCATCAGCATTAAGACATGGAGACTGACAGCTCACTTCCCATGCTCTATGTTCAGCTTTCACAGTGGCCAAAATCTCAATTTATTTAGACTTACACAAGGGCCAAGTGCTCTGCTGTGTCTGAGGACAGCTTTACCAATGCTGGGAAAACACCAGGTCAAAGTGGCCTCAAAAGACCAACCATTATCTCAGATTGGTGCATTTCTAAAATTCTTCTCATTTCAGCAGCAGCACTAGTGAAAATAAAGAAAGCAGAGTCATTTGTTCTTTTCTCTTGATTACCACAATCAGAAAGAGCTGATATTTTCCAGGGGGGAAAAACAGAACAAAACAAACTGATCTAAGTGTTAACTCTAAACTATAGCTACTTATACTACGCCTGGCTTCTCCAAAGGTGCAGGGATAACTGCACTGCTTAAGTGGGACAGCTGCCAACACAGCCAAGCTAGGATGAGAAGAAAGCTGGCCTTCAACCTCTTCACTTCCCTCATATTAAGTGCCTGCTGCTAAGTCCTCCAACTTCTGACTCATGGTCAGGCCTTCCTTCTCACCCAGCTCATTGACATCTATTACAACTAAAGGGAAACACCAGCAACAGGAAGATGGCTGCCCAAAGTATTTGTCTGAGAGATGCATGGGAGACCCTGGACTTAGGCTAGGACTTTTGCCCACACCACGGACACTGTAATGTTTGCTTTCTGACATGAGCCCAGAGAATTAGGGACTCCTGAAACTCATCCCAGAGGGATCTCACCTTGCAGGAGCAAACGGAGCATCTGTCGTCCCTCAAGGTCCACACCTGCCCGTTCCGCTTGAAGCCGCCTTCATGGGGACAGTCTCCAGTGCAAGATGGTCCAGATGGACAAAGGCAATCAAACCCTCCTGCCAGGTTCACACAGGCTGAATCGTTCCAACAGGTGTGGGTCTTTAAGGCACACTCATCAATATCTGCAAAACAGCAGGTTTATAATGCTTTGGACATTTTCTTTCACAGGGCAAATTTTATGTCTGTATTAAGTAATTCTTGCACATCTGCTTTCAAGGTGGAAGAGGGTGCCTTCTTTCTGATCTCTTCCATATTTACTTGCTAGACTTTAAACATTTATTTATTTTAATATTTTTTTAGGTTACTCTTCAGTATTTGTTTGTTGGGACTGTGTATCAATGATGAATTTGAACAGTCAGACAAGGGTGTATAATGTTTTCCCAGTGTCTGGAAACAATCAGTGACTTTCTGTCAATCAGCCCACTCTCTGTTCTGGATTTTAAAACAAAACAGAAGTGCACTGTTCTTCGTAAGTTCCTAGCATCCTAGCATGACCAGCATTTCCCAACCTAAGAGCAGTCAGTTGCATCCTTTTCCCATTGCTGGAAGATGTAAGTGAATTCTAAAAAAAACAAAAAGAACAAAAGAAAAAAAGAAATGGAAATAACTCTTCGAACAAAGCTTGGCAGGAAAAGTATGATTTAGCAATGACATGAAGAAGTAACAAAAGATAAATATTATACCCTAGAGAAAAGTGAATTACAGTATCCCATTAAAATTACTTTTAGAGGGTAAAATATAATTCTGCAATATGAATTTATGTAGGGGCTTAATGCAGCATTCTTTTTCTTGCAGCAAAATCCATGAGATTTTTAAGTGCATGGTTAAAACCAGGTATTTTTTTCAGAAAATTACTTTGGACTGTTCTTAAACAATATATTGACAGACTGTCCACATAAGGCACCAGTAAACGGTGGGAGGAAGGCTGAAGAAGAAAATCCAGTGATGGCTTCTGTCACTCAAATTTCAGAATATTACTGTATGAATTCAGAAATTACAACAAGGAACCATCACACTGATCAGGTAACATTACCTTACTGCTGTAACTGTTCAATATTACCTGACAATTCTAAATTCCTCTCTAATTTAGGTGGGATGTGATGACCAGTTGCCCTACTCTTTGGACAAGTGTAATGAGTTCACAAGTCCTCAGGAAACCAGAAATGAAAAAAAAAACACTAACAATTCTCTCAGTCTGCTGAAGGAAACTCCCTGAAACAATCAACGCATTAAATTCCTTCTGTTACTAAAATTCTTTATTTCAATTCAAAAGTACTGCAAGGGCAAGTGGAAATGTGGAAGGGCCCCTGGATTTGACCAAATGGAAAATCAAACTGCACAACTGAGCTGGGGGCTTGGACTGCCAGAAAATGGCTGTTCCTCCTTCAGCTTATAGACCCAAAGGGAAGCTAGAGGCAAATACACTGCAGAAGGGCTTAAATCCTGGGCTAACCTGTGGGCCAGTTCTTTGTCAGGGACTTTTGCAGTGGCCTAATAGCACAATTAGATGGCTTGGTGCTCAGACTTCCCTAAAAAAAAGGTGTATTTTGTTGCCTTGACAGACTTAACTGCCAAAAAGTATTGTTATTGCTCTAATGCATAACTTAACACTCAGTACTTGGAAGATCCACTACCAGTGGTGTAAAAGGCACTGCACTAAGAGAAATTAAAATTGTAGTTGATTTTTAAACAAATGCCAGGGTATCACAGAAGGTAAAAACCATGAAGAGGGACATGAAGAAAACTATGAATGAACGGCTATGAAATAAATTCATAGAATCTTAGAATCATAGAATGGTTTGGGTTGGAAGGGACCTTAAAGATCATCTAGTATCAACTCCCTGCATGGGCAGGGACACCTCTTGCTAGATCAAGTTTTTCAAAGCCCCATCCAACCTGGCCTTGAACACTTCCTGGGATGGGGCAGCCACAGCTTCCCTCGGCAACCTGTGCCAGTGTCTCACCACCTTCACACTAAATTACACACAAACAGCTACTGAAAGACTTAAAATATTATTTAAAATAGCCCATTTTTCTTTTAATAGACTTTGATTCATATTTTATGTTGAAGACAAAGGTATAAATGAAGCATTCACTGAGTATTTGGTGATGTCACCAAGCATCACCAATATTTTCTTCCCCACTACATTAAGGGCTCCTTGAATAGCAGATATTTTGAATGTAGCAGGACCACAGTGCAGATTAGAAGGGTAGCTTCCACAGTTCAAAACTAAAAGGATTTCACATATGAATATAAAGCCATATTGCCAAAAGAGTTCCATGTAATTGCTTTACTTATGACACAGAAATCTAATTCTGTTTCCATGTAATTTAACAGATTTATGGAAAGCCAGATGTTAGCAATTATAGAAACTAACATTATTCATAACCTCCACAGCACAGACCTGTTCACATTGCACAAAGCCAACTTAATCTGTTACATATATCCAAAAGGGAAGAACACCCTATTTACGTACAGCTGCTGCTGTTCTCCATTTAGAACACATAAAAAGGATGCCCCATTAAGAGCAGCCCAAACTGGTAAATGGAACTTTCTTGACAAAGAAACCAATCAAGCAAAGCTGAGTAACATAGCATGAACAAAAATTCCTAATTGCTACTCAGTTTGCTCATTTTTTTTCCCGCCCGTTCTCTATGCAAATGATGGTTTCTTATTATTTTATGGCATTTATTATTTAAAAGTTTTAGTCATTAATCAAATATAAAAGGCTTGGACACTGCACTCGTTTCCAACTGAACTTTTAATAGAGCTCATTTTCTGAGAACATCCCTTTGGCAGTTTTTTTCTTGTCACTGATTGCCTTTCTAAAAGTCAGAACAAACAGCCAATGTTCCCAGCAACTTGAGGAAAAGCAGTTATAAGCATAACATGATTTTGTCCCTTTCACTCTTTCAGCCTCAAACCAGACTGGGGACAGGGTGGCAAAGGATAAAAACTTGAGACAAATGCTCCCCTATCATTAATTCCCAGTTAGCTTAAGAAAGTATTTCTGTTTGATGGAGATCAAATGGACTTGCTGATAGCAACATGAGATCAGCATGTAGATGATAATGCAAAATGTGGAAGAAAATACTTAGTGTAAAATTTCTCTTAACTGGAATCAATGTGACTACAAAGGTGTTGAACAATTAGCCTAGTTTAAAATTCTGACCATGTCCAAACCAAACTCCTCATGAATATGGAATTTGTAGGACAAGACTCTGGCATATAGATTATTTTTATGTATTCAAATCCTTGTTCAGCTCAAATTCCCCATGCTCCCCTCAGGTTTTGTTTGCCTTTCCATAACTGCTCTCAGAAGCTTTGGGCCCCAAACCGGAACATTTAATGACGGGCAAGACAAAACCATACACAAATCTTATTTCCCATTATAACAACAGTAGGTAGGAAGATGTAATATTCATGTATAAATCAAGCAACTTTGAAGAACAGTGGACAAATTCAAATGTGAAATAGCAAGGAGACTCCAGTCTTTTCCCGTATATAGCACAAGAACTTTTGGGACTATTAGTTCTTCCATGTATCCTGTTAACCTCTGAAAACAACCTTTTCACACCTGGAATGGGATTTTGCAATCTTATTCATTACATTGAGATAATCTGTGGCAAAACCTACTGATTAATGCAAGCAGAAGTGGCAGAACTTTACCCCCCTACCCCCCTCCACACAGCCCCTTTTGAAGGAAAAGCAGGATATAGTGGAAATTACTATAATCAGAAACCTGCTTGGAATGCTCACCCTATGCTATTTAGTATCAATAACACATAGTCAACAGCAAAGTGGTGATTGCTGTGACATACCACCTCAAACATTGCACAGGACTATCATAAAGCTAATCAAGCTCTTCACTCTACAAACACTCTCAAATCTGTGCTTCTTTAAACAAGTGTATGGCAACAAGTACCTGATCAAATGTATTCTAGCCACAATGCAACTAAGTCACATTTTGTGACTGGGAAAAGAAAGAAAACAAACCACCTAAGATGTGCTCATTTCCCAATATACTCTCAAAGTACATAAAGATAGCTTGGTAACACGGGCAGACATGAAATCAGAATAAAAATGGAATAGAATAATCCCCTGAGATGCAATTGCCTTTTCCATCCTTTTTGGCTGTAACGAGAAGTAATTTGCCTCAGATATTATGAGAGGTCCCATGGCCACTCTATTTGAATGGGGTAGAAGACAAGCATGACTGTACATATCAACATAAGTTCATTAACTTGGTTTCACTGAAATTGTAAACCAATCCCTAGTTACTTCATTTCTTAGTTTTCAAGGCTATTCAGATTTTAATGGTATGACTTTTCTATAGTACCTTAATAAATGTGTGCAAGCAAGTCATGCAGTGTGGTGCTCTGTAATATCATGATAGGCTGTTGCAGAAGAAAGAATCCTCCTAATGTGCTAATTTTAACTGTTATGGTACATTAAACCATTACAGTACAATGTTAACGTGAAAAATGTATGCTGGGCTCCCAAATCAATGTGTGTACACGTTAACTAAACACTGTTTTGACACATCATTTTTCACAGGCAACTTGTCACTTAATGTGTTTCCCTTCTTCCTAAATCAAAGTGATTTGGACTCATCTTTGAAAAATAAATAAATCACTAACCAGATTCATTTTTAGTCAGAAAACATTTTATGGTAGTACTTTTGTTCTGTAGAGACACAGTGGTCTATTAAAGAACATTGCATCACAAATTAGATTCTGAATATAGGACTTCATGCTTTCTAGAAATACAGAAATGACTAAATATGATCACTTTGAAGACACGTAACACAACTTTATCTCAGAATGCAAGAATCTGAACGTACTACACGGAAAGTAAGCCAGATTATTTTGCAGGATAAAATCCACAAGTAGACTCAGATATTATGAGCTTTAAGAAGGTCGATGAGCAGAATAGGAGTTGTAAATCATCAGATTCTAAAGTTCATCTTGGATACTCTGTACCATCAGCAAATCTCCCTCTCTACTTAACCAATTCTCTAATGATTGATAGAAAAGCAGTTCCCAGGCACAGAGGAAGATTTTCAAAGGATGGGTCTAGCTTTTTGTTTGACAGAGAAAGGGGGTAAAATAAACAAAGAAACCTCCTTTTCTCTTGCTTTCTAATCTGCAGCACACTATGGAGAATATGAAAGCCTTGGCAATTGATTTGAAACCCTTTCAGACTTGACTCCCAAGCAATGCTGCATCCAGCTTTTGTGGGAGCCCAACGCTTGTGGAGTTTATTCTCATTAGCTGCTGAGCTCTTCTGTTTTCCAGCTTTCCTTTGCCCACAGCAGCTACTCTAACCCTGCAGTGAGGTCTAGCTACACTATCTTCCAGGACAAAATACATGGTGAATCTTGTGGAGTTTTTTTTTGGTGGAGGAGAATCTGTGTTAAGCTTCTCTTCAAAATTTGCACTGATTCTTAGAAAAGAAAAAAAAAACACAAACCAATAACTCCTAGGGACTGCTGCCTTGGTTCTGATAATCTTATATGTTCTCATTGCAAATTGAGTCATGAGACTTCACTCAATGATTACCTGATGAGGTAACAGTGTTTGGCAACAGGTACTTAGTGCAGGGAGAAACAAATGTATGCCAGTTGCTTCAATATGGTATCAGTAGATAGTAGTTAATATTGGGATATAAATCATATCATTGCTCATAGTTCTCTATGAAGTATTTTTACTTGTTTACCTTGAAGCGTAGCAATGCTCCTATTAAAGAAGAAAAAAAGACATAACTCACCACCCAGCAGCTATAGCATACAAGTTTGAATTGCCAAGCAAACTTGGGTAGTGACTTAGTATAGTAATTGCCTTTTGTCTGCAAGTAGTATTCTTAACAACAATATTGTAAAGGCTAGTGCCTCATAAAAAATGTTACCTCTGGAAATTAAATTACACGCTCTTAATTTGAGCCTGCTCACCATCATATTATGAAGATGACATCTTCTATAAGAGCACGGCTATGGAAATAGATTCCTTTTTCAAACCTGCCTTTGGTTGATATTTTAAGAAATAAGAGTTTTCCCAAGCTTGAAGTGGTCTGGCTAAGTCATATATCCTTATTACCCAAGCTCTGGTGCAACATTATGACCTTCCCCGTTGATTTACACATTTGTCCCTTGCCAAGTGACAAATTCCACTGTTTTCTCCTAGCCAATGAGAATAAAACTTTTAGAAGCACTGATACTTCTCAAAAAAATTCTCAAATAGATGTTATTTTTCAAAATGCTCTGCAAGCACTGCAAAGACACTGGAAGCAATGACTCAGCTCCAAGACCACCTACATACAAACGGAGGGGAAGGAGGTCAACCAAGAGATAGACAAATGCACCCAGCAAAAGCAACCAGCTGCTTCAGGGAATCTGTCAGAGCTGGGTGCTGCCTCCCACTGCCTTATGATTTTCATGATATTATTATTATTTTGTGGGGGAAGGTTTAATCTTTTTTACTTATGTTCTTAGCCTACTTATTGCTCTTCGTGTTATGTTCTTCAGAGAGGCAGAAGAAACATTTCAAAACATATGGAAGGGCAATGGTTCAAATGCAGCTCAGGTACACACTTGGATTTCAGTATACAGTCTGTGAAATACACCAGGACAAAATGCTGTTGTTAAGCAGAACAATCCTCTTCTACCTGAAATCAAGTGAATGGCACTGGCCCTGACTCTAAATCCTCCACCAGGCAAACAAGCTCTGCAGTGTGATGAAAGTCAGTGTGCAGGAGAGTTTAAGCTAGAAAGTGAAGTGTTATCTAGCTGTCATTTTAACCACTTCTTAGTTGCACTTGAAAATAAGCATCATGGTATGAAATCTCTTTGCCAACATGGGTTGGCAGAATCTTTCAATTAACTTTTAATTAATTAACCAGTATAATGAAATAATCTAAACTGGTTTGTTCTCTTTCTCACTGGTATCCTGCAGCAGATGGTTCAGAAAAGCTACTTTGTTAAAATAACCTCTCTAATTTCCCACCCTGTCTACAACTTGCATATGGCAAGATGAGCACCTCACCTTATGAACTTCCAGCACGCTGAGCAGGTCAAAATGAGGGCAGCTTGTTTTCACAAAACTCAGCCCTCCAGTCTCCACAGAACATTTGAGGCTCTTTTTTGCTCTGAGGTAACCAAGTGCCCTTCCCTTGAATACTGATGCCATGCAAGACAGGCTGACTTTTTCAGCAATTGAGTTCAGCTATGGGCCATTCAGAACCTTGTCCATGTGAGGGTCTTTGCCTGAGCTTTAGATCTTTGACCTAAACCAGCTAGAGAAGATCAGTGTAGCAAAGGCTGTGTTCC